ACACCATACCCACACCCACGTCGTGTCGACATGGGTGCAGCACTGTAAGTGAAGAGCCCGAGCAACTTAGACGAAGATAAACATGATTTAAGGGAGGATACCTTTAAAAGTTATGTCATCTGAAGGGTCATTACATGGAAATATAAAAGAAACATTACATGGCAGAGATTGGTCAAAAAGGAATTGATAAGCCATATGTCATTTGATGAATAAGGCAGTGAAGATAAGATGGACAAGATTCTGTTAGTTTCTTTAGACCAGTAGACAAGACGGAACACAAGATGGAACGCTTATACAAGATGCACACAAAAATAGTAAAAAATATACCGGCAATAGCAAACAGTGATCTTCAATCGCTATATGTCGACGATGCAAGGCTCTCTTGCGGTATTAATATAGTCTGTAGAATAAGATAGTAATAGAATAAATTAGTTTAAAAATAATCTAAAGAAACAGAAAAAAAGTACACATTGAACACAAGTAAAGTAATAGAATAAATGAGATAGTCTTACCAGCTTCAAGTTGTTCAAGATTATCTAAATCTTCTTCAATTTTATCCGGAGTTGTTGATTCGTTCCAAAGCCAATCTTGGAAACACACAAGAGCTTGAATCAATCTAGGAGTCACTGAACTCATAAATGGATCAAGTATGCGTCCACCGGTACTAAAGGTTGATTTCTGAGGCAACACTAGAAATCAGAATGGCTAGCACATCACGTGCCATCTCAGTAAGAGTGGAAAATCTGGGTGAGTTCAACTTCCACCACCCTAGAATGTTAAAATTTTCGTAGTCTTCCTCAACATCTTCATCCAAATATTTATTTAACTCTGTTTAAGAATCAATTCCTTCACCCTTCTTATGTTTCTTTAAATCTAGCATGAATTTTGAAAGCGATGATGAAGAAGTAGATGAGTTGGAAAAGATGGACATGAATCAAGGGACACATGAAAAGATGGAATTGAATTGGAAGTTAGAGAGGATGGACATGAACCAGAACTACCATTCTTCTTTGCATACACATTGAACAAAGATTCCATGTATGTCTTCACCTCATCTTGTGTTTTCACACCTATTATTTCTCTAAACATAGCATCAAGCGGAAACGAAAGAAATTGAAACTTGTGGCGTGGATCCAACACATATGAAATAAAAATCATTTCATTCTTTAAACTTCTTCCATCTTGCGGGAGATTGTCTTATGTACCTAATAGCATGTCTTTTTCGTTCCACAGACACACTCCCTTCTCTCAACCCATCTTGAACAACTAGATTGATGATGTGAGCCATACATTTCACATAAACATGCTTACTTTCCATCAAGTTAGTGTTCCATCTAGTAAATTGTTTGGATAATTCTTTAACCATGACATCGTTAGAACTCGCATTATCAACTGTCATAGTAAATACTTTATCCACTCCCCATTCAAGTAAGCACTTAGCAATACCACTAGCTAAATCTTGACCTTTGTAATTAGTAATTAGACATATATTCAATATCTTTTTATGTAAATTCCAATTCTTGTCAATGTAATGTGCGGTAACACACATTTAGTTAATTCTTTGAATTGATGTCCATGTATTAGTCGTAATACAAATTCTCTGTTTTGATTCTTTAAAAATTAACTTCAAAGCAAGTCTCTCGTCATGGTGTATCTCAAGACAATCCCTAGTCATAGTAGTACGAGATGGAATGTGAAATAAAGGTTGAAGAGTTCTCACGAAGTCTCTAAATCCATCTTTTTCAACAGGGTTGTTCATCTATAAATATCATACGAGCTAAAGCCCTCCTACATGCCTCTTGATCAAATTTTCAAGGGATAAGTGAGACATCACCTGTTTGACCTTTCTATTGAAAAGCTAATTTTGTCTGACTTGTCTTCGCCTTGTTGGGATTGTTCGAACACTTGAGAATATCCGATAGCAAATTGCTTGTACCACTGTTTTTGGTATTAGCTACATATTCTTCTGAACAGTACTTGCATTTTGCTTTTTTAACACCCTCGGCGATATAAACTAGGCAGACTGAAAATGAAATAAAACCTAACCCTAAAATAAAAGTTTAGTATTTATAGATGCCCTAATAATTTTGGATCGTATCGGGTTAAAATTAAACAATTCGAATCCGATCCGTATATCCGAAATTTTTAATAAGCATAATCCGAAATCCAATCTAAATATTCGAAATTCGAAGTCCGAAATTGAGTAGATTGGTTCCGATTAAGAATATCCGATCCAAATGCACAGCCCTACTGATAGTCCTTTGCACACCAAAATCTTATTGGCACCTTACGATACGCGGGTCTGGAAATATATTAGGTTGCGTTGGAACAAATTTGAGCATACATTGGTTTCCTACATGGAAATGGTTGGAGAATTAGGTTTTAGGAAGACACATGGTCGGGGCACACACCTCTCTAAAGGACCAATTTCTGGATATTTGCGGCTTATCCACCCTTTGTAATGCTACAGTTGCTGAATTTATTCTACTCAAAGCTGGGATCTGTCCTTTCTCAGGAGTATTAATGATTGGGAAATGGGAAAGATGTCTTTTACTTCAACACTTATTTAATATGACTGTTGACCAACTCAAGCTTGATACCTTGAAGTTGAAGGGACATCCCATTGGTTTCCTCTCTCTCAAAATATGCTACAAGCTGTTGGAATCAAACTATGCTGGTATTTGGCCATGGAAGATCTGATTCAACAAACCTCTTGGATAGTAGCTAAAGAGGCATGTCACAATCAAGCAAATCTTTGAAAAAGGGGATTTTAGTTTTGTAGTAGATGTCCACTATGTGAAGAGTACCACGAAGATGCCTACCATCTATTTATGCACTGCAAGGTAACAAAACGACTTTGGAGTATGTTCTTATGCAATACTTGGCTTGTGGTGTTGTCTTAGACCTAGTGCTTTGCTGGAGTAGTGAGGGACTTACCAAGAAGTCGCAGTAGACTTAAAAAATTATACCTCAATCATTTGGTGGACTTGTTGGGTTGAAAGAAACAACCAAATCTTAAGGCTAAAGTAGAAAGCTTTTAAGACGGATGTACTTCTTTGCTAGCTTTTTGGTGCAAAGTAACCCTTGCATGTGATGTACATGCATCGCTAGATACGATCGGGTAATTTCACAATTTGTAGTTATGTTTTGTAGCAGTAGCTTAATACAAGTTTACCATTTACAAAATATTGCTTTACTTATCTCAAAAGAAGTTGCAAATTACATATATTCAAGGAAAGGCACTAGAGTTGAGATATACTTTCGTCTTCCCAATTTATGTTGAGAGTGTAAATTATTTTACAGTTGGTTCTACTTTCGACGGTAATGTAGAATTTTGTGCGTCTAGAATTTAAAATAGAATGTTTGAGCATTCATTTACATGGATTCAATATATTGTTGGTTACTTTATAGCGCCAATTACAAAAATGTCATGCATAGTGCATCCTAGGAAGGCAAGATTCTCTGGGTGCTAGATGACTACTACTATGGAGTGGGAAATAAATTTTTGGTGGTGAGTTGACTTAAATGGTGCTTGACCAAACTTGGTTGTTATTTTGGGCACACTTTCAAACAATTAAGATTGTAAGAATTGAAAAGTGGGCCCAACTCAAAGCTGGCAACTTATTCATACAATTTGAAGCATAGAGTAGCATAGGAATAGTCTATACCTATGTATGTTCTAATGTTCTACCTATTTTACAACGTCAGTTTGAGTTTTGCTTAAGCCTTGTTAGTAGCCGTAGAAATAGTTGGATGCTTCGCCTCACCTAGGAGGTGCATTGGCATAAGCATCAAGAAGGGTTTTGTGCTCTTTTTTGAAGAGCAAAATAGTTAGCATAAAATAGTGACGAAAAATAACTCCTGTCATATTTTATGTCATACTCTCTTTCCTTTTTGGTTATATTCTAAAAATATTGATTTGTTCTTGTGCTTTATTGACATGTTGGGATTAACTTGATATAAAAGTTTTGGCTTTTTATTAAGAGAGATGAAGGAAGGTGAAACTCTTATAATCTCATTTTATTGTGGGTAGTTTATTTATTTAGTTTGTGTGTTAGAGTCTTGTTTCTTAAACTATGTTTATTTGCACAAGTAATATTAAGTTTTAAGCTAATGTTATGGATGAATATATATTAGTGATAGATTATAAAAAGCATAGTAAGATAGATCTAACATAAAATTCGAATTCGACATTTGAATTAGAAATTTAAAATTATTTTTTGTAATCTAACGTGCTTTTATTTCATACCTCACCTAATTTTAGGTATTTTAATTATTTTAATGTCTATAAAGTAATTGCTTGTTTTAAATTATGTTTTCCTGCATTGCATATAATTTGTGGATCCGACCAGTGGTGAAGCTAGTAATTTTTTCAAGGGTGTTCAAATTTAAAAGAAAAGTGGAAAAAATTTCGACATTTAAAAGAAAAGTGGAAAAAATTTCGACAACGGGTGTTCAATATATGTTATATACTTCTAAAACGTAATATTTTACCTATGTACACAGTGCAATTTTTCGACGAACGGTGGTTAGTTGACCACCCTAATCACCATGTGGCTTCGCCACTGGATCCGACTTCTAGATCCGCACCCGTATTGGACACCCACACCTTAGTTCAAGCAACTTAAACTTTGCATTTAAAGTTTGTAGATTTTGATACTATCTACGCTTTTCACCTTTGACAACGCGGTGCTGTATATATTAATTAGCATTTATCAGCACTTTTTCTAATTGCATTTGTGTTGCTTATTTTTGAAATGCTTTGGGATGCTCATCTAATGAATCAACAGAGTATGGGCGTGTCCAATGTGGTAGTTCTCGCAAAATTTAACTGCAAGTTGGGAGTTTGTAAAAATATTCTTATATTGTCTGAATGAAATTCAATAATATATTTCTAGTGTTCATCTGGTTGTTTTAAGTACTTGCTTTCCCATCTTGGATCATCATTATGTAAACTGCATGAGCTTTTAACTTAAAACACTTTCACCTTTCTGTAACAGTCATGTATAAAGGTTGCTCTTGACTTTGTGTCTCCTGAAAATCTTCATGAGTGCATCCGTCTGACTGAAGAGTTCCGCACTCTTCCCCAAAATCACAGAGCCAAGGAGGACAAGTTGGAGGTACATTTATTTGGATATGCAGTTTGTGTTATTTGCTTGCTTCTTTTTGTTCAGGAGTACTTTTGGTATCTTTTTTTTATTTGGGGGGGGGGGGGGGGTTAAATATAGTAGTTTTCTGCTCTTGTTGTCCATTGTTGTTTTATACTTAAACATTGGTCTCTATATTCTGTCGCTTTCTTCTTAGCTTTCCAGAATTTTGACGTTTCTATTCTGTTGTAAAATGACATCGAGTTGAGTCATCCATTGGTGGAGAAAGTGTGTACCACAAATATGGTAGTTGTCTGCTTTTATTTTCAATTGATGTTTTATACTTTACACATGTCTCAATGTACTGTTGCTTTTTCTTCAGCTCTCCAGAATTTGGGCGTTTTATTATGTTATAAAGTGACATTGAGTTGAATCATGCATTGGAGGAGAGTGTGAACCAGATGAATATAGCTCTAATCTTATAATTAATTGTTCGTTGACATATGGTCACATTTGAATTATATATAAGATAATTTTATCTGTTTCAATCTGTTCATGAGGAAATGTCTTGGGAAAATTGTACGTATTTTATGTTTTCTTGGTGGTTCCTTTATTGTGACAGGTGAAGAAAATGAGTATTTATGCAATGAGAGAAGCTCTAAAATGCCTGGAAGAACTTGCAAAGTAGGTCTCCTTATTCTTTCTTTTGTGCAACTCTAGCATTATTCAACCTATAACAACCCGTTTCTGTGAACTTATCCCATATTTCGTGGTTCCGTGCCTTATGTGAACATATTATAGCAATCTACACGTGAGCATTCGTTTCCTGGTGCTAGCTGCTGAAATTTGCGAAAGGGTGGTGCTCATATAAAAAAAATCACTTCATCCCATGCTTCAACTTTTTTGTGGGAAGAACTGTCTTGTTTTATGAGTATTTAAGTTGAAATTTATTTTCGTGCAACATTGGGACCCAGAAAATTGTCTTGCTTACAAGCTATAATCATTTGCAATTACTTAGTTACTTTTGGATTTCAGCGTTCACCCTTTGTATCTATTGTCGCTTTTTGTGTAGATCTCATCGTGGCCAATCCTGTGACAGACTAATTTTTTGTGTTTGATTCGTAGGGATTCCACCGATAAGGGTGAGAACAGAAAATCAGAAGATGATGGAGAAAATTCAGCAGACGATCATGATGATTCAAAAGATGAGTAGACGAGACAAGATTCAGGTTGACGACTCAATAGCCCAAAGGAGGATTTTGAAATGGATTGTCAAAAACTCTAAGTGAAGATGCCCTTTTTTGGATTATGCCTGCATATGATTATCTAACTTAAGATGTATCTAATAGTTAAATCTCTTTGGTGTGTAGGCTCTTTGTTCTAACCTGACCCATGTTTGTTTAGTTTTGGGGTTTTCTCTGTGCATTTCAAGTTTATTATGTTAGTAATTCAATGAAAACGGTCCTTACAAGTTTTGGTTTGTCTATCTAGTCCTTGCTATTTGTTTGGTGTTTCGTCTGACCAGGCTTGTAGCGTAAAGTGACTCAATGTCGATTACGTTGAAGGTCACATTCCCTTGAGTTGTTTCTTTGAAAATTTCGAACATATTCTAAAAGAATTGAGTTCCCTATTTAATTTGGGGGAATTAAGCTCCTTGTCACTTGGCCCAATAGTCCATCATAAAATGGCCCACGTTTGAAGCCCTTACCTGATATGGCCCAGGTTGTACATAATCTGAAAATTATTTTTCACCAGTTAGCCCACCCTATTTTTTTCTTTTCTTCGTTCTTCTTCTTCTTCCTCTTTCACGACTTTGCACCCCAAAGTTTCTCTATCATTATATATATATTCTTCAATTCTCCTTCCAGATTCAAAGCTGATAATCACTATTAAGATGAGAAGAAAAAATACCACTTAAGAGAATTATTATTTTTGGAGTCACCATTAAAGGTCATTCGAAACTTCAATTTCAAAAATTGAATTTTTCGATTTTGTTAGTTGTTTGAATTGGGTGTTGGCCCAATTGATTGGGATCGTCAAGGGAAGTTCAAAACTCAAATTTGAAGTGATTTGGAGCAGATTTGAGTTAAATTTCAGAAGATGCCCAAAGAAGAAGAATAACCAGTGAAACTCCATTAATAGGATTCATTTGTAGTGTATAATAGTGTATAATATTGTATAAGTAATGTATAATAGTGTATAAACACATCTTATACATTATTTTACACAAGGTTGATGCATTATTTACAGGTATTTGGTGGATTTTTTACATTTCTTCTTCTTCTTCTTCAACTGCTACACCTATATACATGGTGTATCACTAACATTTTCACTACTGTGCTTATACATTTTTATATATATATATTTTTTATACACTTTTATACAACTATATATATAATATACCTCTTTGTATAAAAGTGTATAAGCATCTCTGACGATTTTTTTGTACGATTTTCACTTGCAATTCTTGATTAAGACTATACCAAATCTCCACTAAATGACTTCAAACTTTGTATACAGTCTACTTAGACTAATTTTAATAAGTTCAAACAATACCCACTCCAAATTTCTCATAAAATCATATTCAAAAACTAACAAGATTAGCATTAAAGAAGATGAGGTTTTAGATTTCTCGCGTCTGTTCGTGAATTTTCTTAGTTGTGATAGGTATGTAGAAACTTGAGGAAAAAGGAGAATGGAAATATTTCACGCTTGAAGATATAGAGAATAAAAAAGCTGGAAAAAAAATTCAGATCTATGCTTATTAATATTTGGCTGCACATTGCAAACTTGTAAGTGGGCTAAAATAATACAAGGTCAACTTATGGAGTACATTATTACGTAATTAGCCATTTAATTTCTGCAAAAAATTTAGAATCCTTTCGATAGGAAATTCTTCTTTTACAATTCAAACTTATACTCCATCTGCCAAATACATTAATGGCCCCTCAAAGTGGCTCCAATAATTAAGAACCTACATAGAAGTGTATCTATTAAACACAACATCTGACGCGGCAAAGAGGTGTTCCTTAGTTGCCAAAACTGTATATCTATTAAACACAGCTTCAGACGTGGCAAAGAATTGTTCCTTAGTTTCCTTTTGGCGCATGAGTTAATATCCAAGTATTATTGTTTCTTTTCTTTATCCAAAAAAAAAAAAAAAACTCACATTTTCCTATTCCATTGCCGACGCGGCTCTTCTGCTAGTGTCGTGCCCAGCACACTTCTTTTACTTTGATGAACATAAGCTCAAATTGTGATACTAGAGAAGGACAAGCAGAGGCTATGCTTTCTACAACAATGGAAGCTTATTGGGCTCATAAAGGTGCTACCATGAATTTAAAATACTTAAACTAATTAGTGTTAGTAAAAAATCTCAAGAAATTGAAAAAGTCTAAGAATCCGTTCAAGGTTGGGATTTCTTTTCCCTTTAATATTAGGATTTCTTTTCCTCAAAGATTAGGATTCCTTAATTCTTGTTTTAGTAGGGTTATATTTGCAGTTCTAGTCAAACTAAGATTGTTAGTCGGTAGTCTAATCCTACTAGAATTCTTTCCCTATTTTAGTATGGATAGGTTTTCTTATCCATATTCTTATTCTAGTTTAATTAGGATTAATTTCTTAACCTTAAATTTTACTCATTGTAAGGGCTATTCAAAGAGCTCAGTATGCTAAAAATAAACATTGGTGATTAATTTTTCTAAGCTCTTGCTTCAAAAACATGAGTACTCTTTTGGTTGACTCTTCTTTCTTTATTCAACGTTTCTTGCAATCTTGCGGGACTGAGGAACGAGTGAGTAAGATACTTTTCTTTTTACAATCTTTGTAACGACCCGACCGGTCGTTTTTGGAATTTACGCCCCGATCCCCTATTAACTGCTTCCCCCAAGTTTATTTATGCTATTTCGATTTGCCGGGATGTTCGGTTTTGAGTTTCGGAGAGTTTTGGGACACTTAGTCCCTAAATGAGAGCTTAAATGTTGGAAAGTTGACCGTAGTCGGAACAGTGTGAAGACGGCCTCGGAATGGAAATCCGATGGTTCCGTTAGCTCCGATAGGTGATTTCGGGTTTAGAGGCGTGTTCGGATTGTATTTTGGAGGTCTGTAGCTAATTTAGGCTTGAAATGCCGAAGGTTGAATTTTTGAAGTTTCCGGTTCGATAGCGAGCTTTTGATCCGAGGGTCGGAATGGAATTCCGAGAGTTGCAGTAGTTCCGTTGTGTTATCTGGGATGTGTGTACAAAATTTTAGGTCATTCGGACGTGGTTTGGTTGTGTTTTTGATCAAAAACGTGATTTAGAAGATTTTTGAAACTTAGGCTTGAATCCGATGTGTTTTGGTTGATTTGATGTTGTTTGAAGTGTTTTGAAGATTGGTACAAGTTTGAATAAGGTATTAGGTGATGTCTCAGCTTTTGGTTGAGGTCCCGGGGGCCTCGGGGTGATTTCAGATGGTTGACGGAGAGTTTGAGAATTTTGAAGAAGCCTCAGATTGTCTGCTTCTGGTGTTTCCGCACCTGCGGATTGGGGACCGCAGGTGCGATGCCGCAGATGCAGGGAAAAGGAGCGCAGAAGCGGAAGGGGCCTGGGAAGGCTGGAAACCGCAGAAGCGGCTTAGGGGCCGCATCTGCGATGCCGCAGATGCGGTAAAAGGGATCGCAGAAGCGAAAATTGGGAGTTAAGTGAAAAACCGCAGATGCGGTTCAAGGACCGCAAATGCGGAACCGTAGAAGCGAAGATTGGGCCGCAGATGCGAAAATGCCTCGGCCAGAACATATAAATAGTTGCCTTCGCGAATTTGAGCTATTCTTTCACCATTTTCATCCGGGTTTGAAGCTTTTGAGAGAGATTTTTGAGGAAAACAAAGGGAATCACTTGGAGGTAACATCCTTGTCTTCATAACTCGTTTTTATGTGATTAAAGACCTAATTAGTGGTGAAAAATTTGGAAAAAATGGGTAATTAGGGCTTGAGTTTAAGAGACCTTTAAATGAGGATTTGAAGGGTCATTTGGACTCCGATTTCAGTGTTCTTGTTATGTACAGACTCGTGAGAGTACGAGGTTTCCGAAAATGTAAATTTTATCCAATTCCGAGACCTGGTCCTGAGGGGCGTTTTGGTCATTTTACCTAATTTCGCGTATTAGCTTAGAATTTAATTATAGAATCAGTTATTTGAAGTGTTATTTACATTATGAGACTTAATTCAATAGATTTGGGCCATTTAGAGTCGGATACTCGTGGCAAAGGCGTGGTTTCGGGTTGACTTGCACTTGTTCGAGGTAAGTGGCTTGTCTAACCTTGCGTGGGGGACCTTTTCCCCTTAGGATTGATATTGTGGTAATTGAAATGCCTTGTACGTGAGGTGACGAGCGCGTACTTGAACTAATTGTTGGAAATCCTGTTTTTCATTAAAAATATCCTTGAATTGTGTTCTTCCTTTTCTTACTTACACTGTTCGGAAATTAAACCTGTTGTAGCCTGGAGAAGCATGTCTACTTGACTAAATTGCTCTATTTGCCTTAAATTCCTTAGTTGTATTACGTGAACCATGCTATGTTTGGATTACCTGCTTCACTTTGATATGAAATTGATTGGATTGAATTCTTGCTGTTGCTGCGTATTACTGAACGGTATTCCGGGAGATCCCTCTGCACTTTTACTTTGGGACTACGGGACGGTATCCCAGGAGCTCCCCTGTATTTTACTTTGGGACTACGAAATTGCATTTTGGGAGATCCCCCTGCACATTTATGAGTTGGACTACGGGACTGCACCCGGTAGATCCACTGGATATGATATTTACATTTGGGGACTATAGGACGGTATCCTGGGAGATCCCGGTTGTTATCTTGGAGCTGAGCTGTGTTCTCTTACTGCATTTTTACTTGCCTCTGTGATAGTTGTTGCTGTCCTTTATATCTTATGTTATTTACTTACACTGTTATTTCACATTGTTAAACCTTATATCTTATTTAACGTCAGTAGGGCCATGACCTTCCTCGTCACTACCCAACCGAGGTTAGGCTTGGCACTTACTGAGTACCGCTGTGGTGTACTCATGTAATTCCTGTGCATGTTTTTCATGTGCAGATCCAGGTATCTCTACTCAGGCTTACCATTCTTGAGGCGAGGCGATTCTACGGGACTTCAAGGTATATCTGCCGCGTCCGCAGACCGAGGAGTCTCTTTCTATTCCTGCATCTAGTATTTAGCCTTCTGTACTTTATGTTCTTGATTAGACATTCTGGAGATTAGAGCTATGTAGTGTTTTTCTCAGATTGTGGATCCTTGAGTTTCTGGGTTTTGGGATAGTATATCAGATTTTGGAAAGTTGTGTGTATATGCCAAGCAACATTTAAATACTGTTTCCTTCAGTTATTCGGCTTTTGATTATTTATTTCCGCAAGATTAGTTGTTTCCCGCATTTGTTAGGCTTACCTAGTCGTAGAGACTAGGTGTCGTCACGATAGTTCACGGAGGGCGAA